CCCCAAAACCCCAAAACCCCAAAACCCCAAGATACCTTCAATTTTGTATTGAAATTTAGATCAGAGATATATTGATAAACATAATAATATATTTGATAAATGATTTGCTCAATAGTTTGTGTACTTTGGTATGTGGGAGTCTTGAAGATGCTAGAATTGCTATACAGAATTATTTGGATGATTAGAAGAGCTCTAAGAACTACTGACTATCTGCCTGATAGATATGGTAAAGGATCTTGGGCAGTAGTGACTGGTGGTACTGATGGAATTGGCTTAGAAATGGCTAAAGAGCTATCAAGATTAGGATTCAACATTATTAATGTTGCTAGAGATAGCAAAAAACTTAAGGATTCAGAGGTAGAAATAAAGAAAACAAACTCAACCACCCAGATCAGATCAATAATGTTTGACTTCAGCAAGACGATTAAGCCTGAGGATTACTAATCTTAGATTACTGATCAAATCAATGATTGTGACGTGTCAATTTTGATTAATAACGTCGGAGCAAATTAATCAGGAGATTTTGAAAGAGTACCGATCGAAAAACATAAAGAAATGATTGATGTAGGAATAATGCCAGGCACTATCCTTACAAAATTACTCATGGATAAGATGCTTAAAAGACCAAAGAGGACTGCAGTACTCTTTACTACTAGTGTTTAAGTTCTTGCACCTTTAGGAGGAGTTGCTACATATTCAGCAAGCAAAGTGTATCTTGATTATCTAGCGAAATCTCTATCTCATGAAAACAGACACAACATGGATGTAATGACATTCTAATGTGGACTTGTAACTACTAAATTCAATGGCTACTACAAAGGAGGATTTTATGCAATAAAACCACAGCAAGCAGCGTTTGGAGCATTAAAAGACTTAGGTTATGAGTTTAGTAGTCATGGACATATTTATCACGACATCTTGGCATTTTTAATGAGATTTAAGATAAAGTTCCTTTATAATAGTTTCTCTGATGAAATGAGAACTAAATCTAATAAGGTACTTGAGAAATTATCTAAGTAGAATTGAGCTCCATATTCTAATTTGCAGCAATTACATCAAAGAATATCTTAATTTCATAAAGAAGTATTTACCTCAATACAAAATCATTCCTCGTGGGGTTTTGGGGTTTTGGGGTTTTGGGG